CAATACCAGGGGAATTGCAGGTACGTTGCCGGCCGTTTAGAAAGGAGTAAGCTCTTTTATTGAACGTCCCCAGGTCGTATCGGACCGGAAAAATCGCCGGTGTTAAATTATTCCACAGAGAGGTCGTACGCGGAAGAAAACTCCTAGTGAAACGTACAGTGGTGGACTGCGAAGCATCCAGATGGTGTGGATGGTATCGGGAGGTTTACCGCGTAGTGCGTTCGTGAAATTTGGCGGCTGGGATTAATCCGAACAATTCCTCAGAGCACTCCTCGTGATAGATGCGATAAAATATGCAAAGAGATACAACATCTCTTCGCAGCGTCAGTGAATCAAACCGATCGGAAAGCACTCGTTCGTTGACGATTCGAGCAGCTCTGCGCTGGATACGTTCAAGTGGAAGGAGTTGGTACTGGGGAGCCCCAGCCCAGAGATGGGAACAGTATTGCATGTGCGGCCGAACCTGCGCCTTGTAAAGTTGCAGGCGGTGTGCCGTAATGAAATACTGTCCCGCTCTGCTGAGCACGCCAAGCTTTTTAGAGGCCAATTTGGCCTTCTATTCCAAGTGACCACGAAACTGCACGTCACTTGATATGTCGACGCCAAGGATTCCGATACTGGCTGAGGCAACAAGGGGAGTGCCTAGAAACTGAGGAGATACGACAAAGGACTTCTCTTTAGCGGTTAACGCGCAAACTTGTGTCTTCTGAGGGTTAAACTGGACTAGATTTAGTCGACCCCAATCCGAAACTTTGTTCAGCAAAGACTTGACTTCAGACACAAGTTTGTCCCGGTACTTGGAGACGTTTTCCCGAGAAATTTTGGGACGGCCGGTGTACAGAGCATCACCGGAGCGCTGTCATAGCAATAAATGTTACAGGTTTGCAACATATCATTGATATGCAGAAGAAACAGCGTTGGTGATAGCACGCAGCCTTGTGGAACACCAGCATTAATAGGCTTGTAATAGGAGCTTGCACCGTCTACAAAGACCTTGATGCTCCGATCTGCAAGAAAGCTGGTGATCCAATTGCACAATTTCTCGGGAAGCCACACGATCTCTGCGGAGGAAGGGAGCTTCGAAAGAAGCGCTTTGCGCCAAACCTGATCAAAGGCCTTCGCAATGTCCAAACTAACGGCCAATGCTTCCCCCTTGGACTCTACTGCCGCCGCCCATCTATGAGTCAGGTAGACCAGAAAATCGCCAGCTAATCGACCACAACGGAAACCGTATCGGCGATCACTAATCAGCTGGTGATTCTTAAGGTACCTTATGAGCTGACAGTTTCTAAAGGGCCGGCAACGCACCTGCAATTCCCCTGGTGTTGCGGTTGATCATGGGCGGCGGTAGTCACTTAACATCAGGTGAGTCGCATGCTCGTTTGCCCCCTCTTCTATAAAAAAAACAATGGATTCCATTGTTTTGGAGAACAAGGAGGTGATAGCGATGGGCCTGTAGCTGGACGGGTCTTAGCGGTCGCCTTTTTTAGGGATCGGGTGGACGAAAGACGACTTTCACGATTTTGGGACTACGTCTAGAGAGTAGGAGTACCAGAAAAGACGCGTTAAGACCGGTGCCAACTCTGGAGCACACGTCATCAGCACAATTGGGGGGTACCATCAGGCCCACCCGACTTATGGATGTCCAGAGAGAGGAGTGCTTTGCGAACCGAGCGCTGTGAGAACCGCACCTCTGGCATGGAGCACTCACACCGCGGGATTGTCCGCGGCGTACTCCCCCTGTCATCGAGAGTCGAGTTTGACGCAAAGAAAGAGCCTAGCAGATCGGCTTTCTCCTTTGCGGTATGGGCCAGTGACTCGTCCTCCCTGTGCAGAGATGGAAGAGATGGCTGACAGAAATTGCGAATGCAGACCAGAATGCACGGGTTCCAGAAGGAAGGTGAACTAGTTTCTCGCCAATTCTGCCTATGTGCTCTGACTTTGCCTTGGCAATGACTCTTGAAAAACCTGGAGGTGGAATTATACTTCTTTTTTAGAGCGCTGGTGTTTACATCTCGGGACGTTGATGCATCAGCCCAGGCTTGTTAGCACTCCTGCTTATAGCATGATGCTATTTTACAGGAACGACCAAACCATGGCTGAGATTTGCCTCCGATGGGCACCACAGAGGAAGGAATAAAAAGTTCCATACTCTGAAGTATCACATCAGCAACAGAATCTGCAACAACGTTGGGATCGTTCAGCGAGAAACAAACCCAGCCCCAAGGTTAGGATGCAAGGAAAGACCGCATCCCATCCCAATCGGCTGACCTATAGTGCCAAACATGGCGGCAGCCTGTAGAATACAACCGCGATTTCAGCGTGAGTGGCACCACACTCCGGACAAGACAATGGTCCGAGGAGCGAAAAGGGGCGTCGACGGAAATCTGATATCCATCCGGGTGAGAGATCAGCAGAAGTTCCAACAGGGAAGGTGTGTGGTCCTCCACATCTGGAATCCGCGTAGGCGAAGTTACCAGTTGTGTCAGACCATATACCAAGGCAAAATCATGAACAGATCTCCTCGCACGATCGGTTAAACGTAAACTAAGCCACTCGGCGTGGTGGGCGTTAAAATTGACGAGGATCACGATCTCTGCGGAGGGGATTTGCTGTAGCAAACTGCTGTACCTATATTACTTTTTTATCCCAAAAGTATAGTTAGCTTGGTTGACAAGCGACTAAAGGCAGGAATATCTTGGCACCACGATATTGCTACGCCGCACACGTCTGCCAGAATCCAAAACACTCAAATTCAAAAAAATGTGTCATATCCTACTTCACTCGACGTGCTCCCTCGCTTTGTGATTTTTGCCTGTACACAATAATAAGAGATTGAAAATGAAAAGAGTTTCGGACGCAAAGAAGACGCTTATAATTTCAGGATTTTCAAAGGTGTCTGAGGAAAAATGGGCAAAGGTGTTTTCTAAGTGGCTTAGAGCACGGCGTCAGCAATTAAAAAAATAATCATTTTCTCTTTATAGGAATTTCACGCTGTTTGCATGTTCATTATCTTGTGTAAACTAAGTATAGCACCAGCACAAGTCCATTGCTGAACATAACCCTCCCGCTAGGAAAGCATAAAGCCATAAGCCCTTAACCTCCATCCATTTTCTGCATAACTAATCAGGTCGTTACTCCATCTCGTTGTGAGCCGTCTTACACATAGAGAAAATCCTTCCCTGTCGATTTTTGATTTCTGATTTGTTTATTTTAACTCAGTTTCATTTTGCACCCACAATATCTTTTCAGCTTAGCTTGGAGGTAGACTATTAGAGAATACCTTGTTGCATTAAGTCCGCCTTTTTGTACTTGGTGTGCAAATAAAGCATAAATAAATAAATAAATTTGTTTGGCTATGTCGGTTATACCGGTTCTACACCAAATATTACAACATATTTTGTGCAAAACATATATAAAATTAACGTTAGGTTAGGCTGTATGGCTTCAAACCTTTACCAAACTTAATTAGCGACGGTAACGACAATCTATGGCCAATGTCAATTCGATTACTTTGGTAATCGATTATGCCTTAAAGGAAAACGGACTAATGTTCAAAACATAAACAAGAAGGTAAAAACAAAAAATGATATCAAAAAGTTAAAGTATAGGTTTTTCTTTTTTAAAGTATAACAACAAAAATATTTTACATGAATGCATACACTTTAAGGTAGCTTTGTTTTTCGTTTAATTTGATGAAATGAAAGATAATGGAACGATGAAAATTAAATTGTTTATGCAGAATTTCAAAACAAAGAGAATATTATTAATTTTTATAACAAGACGATCTGTCTTCGTCACAATTAGAATATAATAATATCTTTTTGGAATAAAAATATCCCAACAATTGCTTACAAAACTTTACTACTGTAAAATATGTGCCGATTATTTATTTAACAATTTACTTTATCGATCCCGAAAATTATAATCGATTATGGTTAATAATTGGAATTACGCTCATCACTACCAGTGCGCTTTTACAAATCACATTCACGTAAGTCGAAATTTCATTCCTTCCATTTAGTCTATGACTCATTCACATTCATCATTCAGTCCAGTGTTGCCACTTTAGCGACTTTGTCGCTAAATCTAACGAGTTTTTTGTTAAGTTGGGGCGTTTAATTCAATGTTTAGCGACAAAAAATATTCTAGCGACTTTTAGTGACATCTGCACTTACTTAAATTTTTGTTACCATCTGACTACTTTAGGCGTAAGGAATACTATACTCTATCCGTTAAAGAAATAATAGAATGTAAAGGAACCGAAACACTGTTTTCTGTCAATGTATCAAAAAGCATTAGCACAGTCAAAGAACATGTAATGAAATATGTTTGACAGTTTATTGTACATTACATACTTTAACTTTTTATATCTTTATAACTACAGAAACAAAATTTTTGAAAACAAAGTCATAGAAATATTGTCATGTTGAAAGATAAGCTTGAATATCTGATAAAATTTAACACAGTTTTGTGAGTGCGAACGCCACCATTAACAAAAACATGTTGTTTGATTTATTTTATGCGATTTGTTTCAAAACATTACGTGTTGAATGTTTCTCAGTGCAAACGTACTGTTATACAATAATAAACTCATTAAAAAAAACTACAACATTAAAAATCACGAATAAAAATAAATCACTTAACATGTACAATATTATTATGCTCATTTTGCTTACATATATATATATATAAGAATATTAATGTACGATTAATATACTGTTCGATTTTGTCTTTGTTTCGCGTTTTTTTAATAAAATTAAATTTAGCGACATTTGGGGACTTTTTGTTACTAAATTCATGTATAACTAGGGACTTTTTGACGGCAGTCTAGAGACCTACGGTAATTCAATGTGGCAACACTAATGCAGTCAGGCAGTCAGTTTCAGCTTGAAGCTCGAAGTTAATCGGTTAATCATTGAGTTGATTATAATTTTCCATAAAATAACTAGCCGAAATAGTAACACGTAGTTTATGAGTTAAAACTTCAAAATATAAAAATGTCGTGGTTATTTGGGTATAGCCGGCCACAGATGCCACCTGCGGATGAACCGCCGGCAGACGGTGGAGACTCCGGCTCAACCGCACCACCAGTGAACCTAACGAAAGCTGAAAAAAGGGCTATGGAAGCCTACAGATTCGACTCCAGCGCACTTGAGCGAGCTGCTCAGGCTGCTAAGGAGCTTGAAAGATCAAGTGAGTCTTTTTGTACCCGTTATCAGGCACATTTCATAGTATTGCATAATGCGACCGCATAACCTATAGCACGCATCGTGACTTAAATAGATAATATAGAACTATTTAAATAAAACCTGTAAAACTTATTTTTTATGTATAAGCATATACACTGTAGAAAACTGAAAAGTTTTTTGTAACTATTCAAATTTACAAAGCAATGACAAAAAATAACCTTGAACAATAGAATAAATTATTATAAAAAGAAATGAAGCTCATTTGATGATTATAATAAATGTGAAAACATTACATTCGACATTTGTTAGACATTATTATTAAATGAGCTGATTTCGGAAACTAATACCTCCTGGTATGTGATTGATTTATGAATAGTACAACCTCAACAAGTGCTAATATTGTTAAGATTTCTTAAAATGTAGTTATAACTAGTTTCCGTTCTATATTGCAATGATTTGTGCAAAAATAGACTTTGTTTTGTTCACTATAGATTATAAATAATACTTACATATTAAAAGTAAAATATATTTACTATTACTTTTTTCTTTTATAAGCTAGTAGACTACTATGGTACCCACCTGATAGTAATTGGGGCTGTGGTGATGCAGCTGAAGATAATAAAAAAAGCACACTGACTTTACAAAATTCTATTCACATTATAATTGGGTGAAAAGACTGCATCTTGGAAGAAATCAACAAGAAAACCTTTAACAGTATAACAAGGTCACAATATCTTTAATTAATCCTATACAAACTAGCCCTCGCCTCCTTGTCTAGATAAAGATCAAGGGGCATTAGGCATAGAAGTGCATTAAGAGCCCCTCCAGGCAATGATTGCATAGCTCCAGTTGCCATAAAGCAGGCAGTCCTTTGTAGACTATTTAGTTTGTCCGCAGTCATCTTTTGGTTGGCATTGTTACACCAGACAATAGAGGCGTAGGTGAGAATCGGCCTCACTATGCTGCTGTACAGCCATAGGGCCATACTGGGACGCAAGCCCCAGTTGTTCCGGGCCAAATGACTGCACGTACCTAAAGCAAGTTTTGCCTTATGGTATACGTTGCTAAGGTTAGAGTTCCACGTTAGTTTTTGGTCAATTGTTACGTCCAAGTACTTAACTTCCATGGAAAATGGTACTTCTTTACTATTAAGTTTTGGTTGGACTAATTTTTCCAACCGTCTCTTTTTAGTTAAGGGTATTATAACAGTTTTATCAGCATTAACTGATAAACTATCCCTGCACCAGTTATTTATGGTGTTTAGGGCTTTTTGTATAATTGACGATAAATTACTTTGGCAAAAGCCCCTCGCAATGATCACAAGGTCATCAGCATAACCCAGTGTGTCAATGCGTAAGTCTGCCATTTTGTACAATAGTTGGTCAACCGCGTCCAAAGAAGGGGTAACAAAACACCTCCTTGTAGGCAGCCTCTTGTAGTTGCAACCTCAATCGAAGTTTGAAACAGCGCTATTTTTGCCTTTCTCTTTGAGAGTATTGACTTCACCCATCTGATGGTTGTGGGGTCAACATTTTTAGATGTCAGACCCCCAATTAGCAGTAATGTGGGGCTACTGTCAAAGGCGCCCTCAATATCTAGAAAGGCACAAAGAGCTATTTCTTTATCCTCCAGTGCTTTTTCGACCCTGTCAATGACACTCATCAGGGCTGTTTCCGTAGATTTGCCTCTGCGGTAAACATGCTGGTTGTAATGTATGGGCCTCTTAGCTAGTGCTACATCCCTTATATATCTATCTATAACCATTTCCAATGTCTTAAGGAGGAAGGAAGGTAGGCTTATAGGTCTAAAGGACTTTGGTAAAGCGTAGTCCTTTCTACCAGCCTGGTATAAATAGAACCTTGACAATTGTCCATCATTCTGGAATATATCCCCATGCAAAACTTGCTCCAAAGATTTTCACCAGATAAGGAAGAAGGATGTCGATACCCCTCTGTAGTTGGATGGGAATTATTCCATCCTCCCCGCTTGATTTAAACGGTTCAAAAGAGTCAACAGCCCACTGCACCAGATTTGGCCTTATTATCTTTGCAGCCTTACACCAGTCCTCGTTACACGGCCTTCGTAGGTCTCTGAAAAAATTCAAGGCTGAAGTCTTGTGTGACTCTGGGAAATGGGTTGACGCACTGTTACTTATGTCGCTAAATAATAAATAACTTAATAATAATGTAAGAAAATGATTACATAATGATTTAAAATAATTAAAATCTATGAAAGTAGTTTTAATCAAGAAAATGATTATTATAAAAAGGATATTTTTTGGAATTCAATACTATATACTATAATGCTAACTATAATGAGCCGAATATGGATTTCTCCGAATACGAATATTTGGCCAAACGTTCGGTAAAATTTTTACCCAGCCGAACATTCGGCCGAACATTATTCGGCAGGATTACCGAGGTACCTAACCAATTTATGTCCAAACTTGTTACCGTAAAGCGCGCGGGATTACCGCCAGAGCCTTCCCCCGCAACACCTGACATGTTATTGCACCATCTAGTACTGAGCAAATTGCCGGCACATGCTTATGTTTCAACTGTTTTTGTGAGAAAAAAGTATTCTTAGTGAAAATTGATAAGTAAAGTTACAGCCTATATACGTCCCACTGCTGGGCACAGGCCTCCCCTCATTCCTGAGGGGGTTTTAGGGCAAAACATACCTGATAATCTGAGATTTCGCAAAATAACTTGTACAATGTATTTATTTATCATGACTTTAATAACTACTGACTTGTTGAAACAGAACATGCAAAAGAAGCTTTAGAAATCAGCAAGTTGCAAGAGATAACTCGCCAGCAAGAGCAGATGGCAAAGATCAAGGAGTATGAAGCAGCCATAGAGCAGTCAAGAGTTGAACAGAAAAAAGTTGACTATGAGGAGCGACGGAAAACACTACAGGTGCTTACTTTAAAATCATAGTAATTTTGAAGTGTATTGTTAGTTTTAGAATGTTTATTATTTGCTTAGGCTGATAAATCCGAAATATGTTATGTCAGTAGGAAAAAAGAACAACATAAGTGATTAAGTATGCGCTAATATCTAATTTAATTTCTGGAGGACCTTAGCACTAGTGTCTCTATATACAAGTCTTAAAATGGACACAGATAAGACAAATATTATGTCTAATGTTCATATCACACCTATGCTTAGTAGTTATATTTACTGAAGACAAATATTTCAACTTGGTAAATCCTAAATTCCCAAATCCAAAGCTTGGAGCAGTCAATCAATGGGTTCTAATAGTATTGGCAGCTTTCAGAAAGACACATTTTCTTGTCGCATGCAAGTGCATGCTTCAGTGGTTATCAATACAAGTGTAGAACTATAGTTGTAGTTGATATCCTTCGTAGAATTGTAGAGTAAAAGCGACACCACACATAAAGTAAATTAACTGGTGCAGTACTTTTGGAGCCGCTCTACATGTTTAGACAATGTATTTAGGTCTGGGTCTATAAACCTATCATATGAAATGAATATAGCACTATCTGTCCACCACAAAAGCTCCCAGCTATTTACTTATTTGAAGTAAGAATAGTGTCCCTCATACAGGCATAATTGATAGAATTCACTCAGAAATTCCTATCTTACAAGCCAAATACGATAAGATTCTTAAACAATTTGTTTTCGATAAGAAATACAAGATACAATTAAATGAAAACAGCCAGCCGGAAGGATTAAGCCCAAAAGAGCTTAGAATTTTCACCGATGGTTCTAAAACAAATGAAGGTGTAGGTTCTGGAGCTTTCTCTGAAGACCTCAATATTCACATATGCACACCGCTGGGTACCTATAACACGGTCTTTCAGGCGGAATGTATGGGTATCATTCAAGCGGCCATAGCAATAGATGCTAGGAAGGTTAATGACTTCCCCATCAGAATACTGACCGACAGTAGGGCGGTACTACAAGCTCTGAGTTGCAATGGGGTGAACTCGGGACTAATATATGAATGCCATCAACGATTAAATGAGGTATGTAAAAACAACAATGTGACTCTGCAATGGATAAAGGGACACAGTGGATCCAGAGGCAACGATGCTGCGGACGAACTGGCCAGAAGAGGATCGGCTCTGGCCACTATAGGGCCGGAACCAATCATACCAATCCCCTTTGGTAACATTCGTTTAATGGTACGTAGACACTTCACTAATCAACACGCTCAGCTTTGGAAAAATCTAGTAGACTGTAGACAAGCTAGGGAGGCCCTACCTGTAATAAACAGTTGCTTAACCAAAGTTCTAATGAGACTGAACAAGCCGCAGATCAGGATAGTAACTAGTGCTATCACAGGACACGGCACCTTTAACAAACATTTATTTACTATAGGTGTTACAGATAGTCCCCTGTGCAGGGCATGTATGGGGGAGGAAGAAACGGCGGCCCACGTGCTACTGAAATGTCCGGAGGTCGCTACGTACAGGGCTGAACATCTCGGCACGCCGGGATCACTCCCCGAAGTTGCATGCAACATCAAGGGACTGTTGAGCTTCTTCGGGGGAGATCTCATGGCTCGAATAATCACATTATTCCTGCCCACACGCAAAATACGCGCATAGACGTGGAGTTGCGGAAAACAGCCCGTCGCAAACTAAACTAAACTACTTATTTGAATTTTATTGCACCCATAGCAGGAGTCAAAGTAATACTATAAGTTATAACTAGTATATTTCAGAATAGCTGTCTAATAATGTAACTAAAAATTGTACAAACTATTCATTTAGATCTTATATACCAAAAGTATGCAAAATTCCACTGCTAGACATAGGCTTTTCCCCATCTATAAAGGATTTATCGTAATTACCACATCTGGTGGGCAGATGCAATCACAATGCCAGGCATTGCACCTTTGACACCACTCCTTATCTCATTAAAATCCTCCACCGAACAAACTTTGCCAGACCTAATCATCATAATTACAGCCCTTCACAAGTCCACTGCTGAATTCCCCCAAGGAATGCCTCAAAGCACGTTCCAGAGTCAACTGCATCCACCGACTTCTTACCAGATCGTCACTTCATTTAGTGGGGACACCCTATACTTCGCCTGCTGGTATGAGGCTGCCACTCGAGAACTTTTTTCCCAATCGGTTACTGGTTCTTCGAGCTATGTGGCGGGCCCATTGCCACTTCACACCACTCAGTCAGCAACCGAGAGGTCAATCGACTATTAACTCGGCTGGGCAGTGTTCGGGAGATTACGACACGTCTTCTCGTCAGATTTACCTTAAAACTCAAAACTAGATTGTACAATCAGTGTATATTACCAAACTATATATGAACAAATAATAATTACAAACTTTCCCTTGAAACATCCCTAGATAAAATAAATTTTACACTCCTAAGCATCTACAAACATAGAAAAACTTCAACATGATTGTTTGGCAAGTGGGTTGACGTTCACAGCACCAGTAATCCATTTTTAAGAAAACAAATATTTCAAACCTCTGATGGCTTGTATTTTACATCTGACATGATGAATATACTGCTACTGGCTGATATCGGATTGCATATTATGAGGTATTTCTGTAATTTCTTAAGCTTTGTGTGTGGCACCTGATGTCTTACTTTCGGTGTATGGATGGGCCAATAGATTTTTAGTACTATCATACCAATGGATTCCAATTACCAATGGGTAATTGGAATCCAGTAACGAAAATTAATATTAGGGAATATTGTTTTTACTTTGTTATATTTTTACATTTTCTATTTCTGAATGCAGGAAGAAACGAAACAGCATCAGATGAGGGCACAGTATCAAGATCAACTTGCCAAGAAGAGATATGAAGAGCAGCTTGTGCAGCAGCAGAAGTCTCAAGAGGAAATATTAAGAAAGTAGGTTTAGTTTACTTGTAATTTTAATTATTATGTACATAATCTCTTCATTAGTCTGTAAATATTTGCAATTGGCGGAATACAAAAAAAATTGGCTTAATAACGCTTATCGTTCCAATACCGGACAATTTGCACCTTTGGTGGTGATGTCAGTCATCGATCGAAATTATATATGAGAATGGTATTAGCAAAATGGTTATACTACCACCCATAAGGTCATTCTAGCATATTCCTTAGTCGCCTCTTAGGACACCTAGAGTAGTCAGACACTTTGGTGAGCCGCGTGCGCATTTGCTCCCTCTTCTATAAAAAAACCTACATGAGGAAATGGGGTGACAGACCTTTATCAACTGCCCTGGAGATAAAATTCTTAAAAGTGTACAACTCCATTATATATTACTAACTACCTTGCAGATTGTTTACAAAAATTCAATGTTTATTATACACAAATACAAATAGTGTTATTAAAATAGTAATGTACTCTCTGTAAATACTAGGAACAAGCACAAGCTAGTAATATCAGACTTAACTTCAGTTAGTAATTGCATTATAAGGCAGTCATTTACAACAAAGTCCCAGACACTATACAAGGTTTGTCTATCAATCAAATATCAGAATTTTATTAAGGCTACTAGGAAAAAAGTATTGTATTTTAGACATGATTTTGATGCTCTTTAATTGTCTTCTCACCTGGTTGCAGTCAACTAAAAGAGTTACAGCAAATTAACTGTAACTTAGTGCGCATTGTACTAAAGCCGCATAGCCATCTGTTATACATAGAAGTATTTGCATCATCCTACAAATGCAATATTGCTGAGTTATACTATGAGATTGTGACAAATATTCAGACAACTCATCGGCTATACAATTGCAGCTAAGAATTGGCTCCAAACTAGTCAGTTTACGAGCGCTTTTATTTCTACTTATCTTCTTTGCAGACAAGAAGAAAGTGTGGCAAAGCAGGAAGCACTCCGTCGTGCAACCATTGAGCATGAAATGGAACTCCGTGAGAAGAACAAGTTGAAAGCAATTGAAGCAGAAGCCCGTGCAAAGGCAAAGGCTGATCGAGAGAATCGGGACATTGCTCTTGAACAAATTAGACTAAAGGCAGCTGAAAACAGGACGACTATTTTGGAGAGTATCAAGTAAGTGGACTTGTTATAAATCTTATACTGAATTTACCTGTAGTAGAACCACACTGCAGCTATAAATGGTTGTAGCACAAATTGGTTGACTCAACCAGGGAAGGACCACTCTGTCACAGGATACCAGCTTGAAATAACAAGTTAATAATGCTGCTATGTTTCTTGTGGAGAGTGTAGAGGACCAGAGACCTTTTTACTTTAAATAAGGCATTCCATTTTAGTCATTAGTCCTTAATACATCTACATTTTGTTTCTGAATCGAGGATAGATGTAGATGCCTATAAGCCACAGTATTCATTTACTATTAGATGGAATGTGTGCTCATTTATCAACCTCATTCTATATTAAATAAACGTTTTTCGTGAGAAATGATAAGTTAAACTTTTCTTATTTATCATCTTGTAAAGTGTCTTTCTACAATGAAATCTCCATTGGGCATTGACGATTGTAGGGTCATGTTAGCTGAATGGCCTCGTATTCGTCTTAATTTATATCTGTAAAAGACCTTATTTTTAAACTTCTATTATATCCTATTGGCAGTATGGTACACCACTGTCTTCATATTGAATTTAAAAAAAAACTTATACACTAGAGTTGCGTTAACTAAACTCATATACTAATTAATATTTTTATTATGCACTAATTAATACCCTGGAAAGAACCAAACCAAAGAATAATTTGGTTTTCTTTGCCATTGAAGAAAATGGAAAAAGAGAACATGAACTCATAGACCTTATAAAAGAAACTGTAGTAGAATCAATTAACTCACATGAACTGCCAAGAAATTAAGCAATGTTTACAGGATTGGCACATCATTTAATATAAAATGTCCCATTGTAGTTTCCCTAAAGACCATATGGAAAAAACACCTTATACAGGTCCAGCCTTTCTCCAGGTATTTATGTCAAAGAAAACTACCCCAAAGAGGACCCAGAGGTGGGTAAACAACTGCAACCGAAGGTTGAAAAAGAGAGGAAGAAGTTGTAATATAGCATTCTTAAAACACGATTAATTTGTAGTGAAGAAACCAAATGAAAAGAAAAAGCTCCATCAATATCTCAAATAACTTTCCCAAAATTGACCAAATAGAAAAGATGCAAACAAATATTCTCAACTACATACCACAAAACAGGGCAGCCTTAGTATCAGAGATTGCAAAAAAACAAGTAATTACCATTAACACCTTTTTTAAATTGTTCTTAGCCAGTGCTTAGCTACAATCCCACCTGATAGTAAATGGTGATGTAGCCTAAGATGGTGAATCGGAATGACTTAATAAAAACCTATTCACTCTTGCATTGAAGACCCCACACCGTAATCGGATGGAAAGACAGATACTGGTAACTTATTCCACTCCTTTGCTGTACGCATGATAAACGACGTAGCAAACCGTTTGGTTCGAATGCGTGGTAAGTTAACAACAAAAGGGTGAAGACTGGCGTAATGTCTGGTTGTCCGATGGTGGAAGGGAGAGGGAGGAATTAGATAAGGCAATTTGTGCGCACACTCCGAAATGCATCCTGCAGAAAACCGAAAGGCTGGCCACTTTGCGCACGTGTTTGAGGCTAGTAGGCTACATTGGCTTTGACCAAATTCGGGTCACCAATAAGCCTCTTAGCACGCCTTTCCGTTGAATCCAAAGCTGCTAGGTGGAATTTTGCAGCACCAGGCCATAATATGCTAGCAATATTCCATGCACGATCGGACTTGCGCTTTTTATAAAGTAATTAGCTGTCCCAGCGTGGAGTATCACTGCACCTTTGCAAGGAGTTCTAACTTCTTTGCAGCTGCTTTGGCCTTGAACTCAATGAACCGCCTTAAGTAAGATTTAAGCCAAGGTGAGCTGGCTCCTTTTTGCAGTGAAGAGAAACGCTTGTGTTTTGGAGGCGTTGAATTTACAAGATTAACATCGCACCATTCGGAGACTGCCTGTAGTGTGATTGGTGGTTGATCTCGACTGGCCTGAGGACTTGGTTGGTATCTCTCCACAACTGTACTGTCGTCTGCGTACCCATAGATACCGGGCATAAGCAAATCATTAATATGAAGCAGGAAGAGAGCTGCGGAGAGACTGAGAAACGGACCCCTGACGAACACCGGCGTTAGTCGCCACAAGATCGGATGAGCAGCCATCGACAACAACCCAGAGAGACCGTTCACTCAGAAAGTTCTTTACCCAGTCAATCAGATCAGGGGATAAGCTGTATGCTGTAAGCTTATCCAAAAGGCTAGAGTGCCGAACTCTGTCAAAGGCCTTCGAGACATCAAGGGAAACAGCAAGTGCTTCTCCACTGTTCTCGAGTGCCTCGCCCCATATGTGTGTGGCATACGCTAGAAGGTCGCCAGCTGACCAATTTCGGCGAAACCCGTATTGTCGGTCACTAAGGAGGTCATTCTGTTCTAGGTATGCCATTAATTCCATTCCACTTGAAACCGAAAATTTGCAAATCAGACAACAATACAAACCAACACTACAAAAATGCACCTCAAGCCTGCTAGTCACCATGGCGGAAGTCTACCACCATCCAACTGTCTCAAACACATACGCCTTATAAAAAACCTTATCAAAATTATAGTAATATTATATAAATATACACAATGTCCTTAAAAAATAACGAAAGTTTGTCCTCGAACTGAACTGATGTAATCGGTTAAAATATAGGTTGAAAGTGGTAACCCTTAGTTGTAACAAAACATGGCAAAATTACCATCACATCGTGGCACCACTGTATGGTAACTTTGCCAAGATAGTTTTATACACAAAATGTTAAGACTACCATGTTAAATGTTACTACGAGATTAGATTATTATTATTAGATACCTACATTCAGTACTTCAAATAAAATCAACAAAAGTTTTGGAGCACTGAACAATGACGTTAAATCGCCGCCGCAATTTCACGTTAAAATAAAATGACAAAATTAACTTTTATGTAGTCATAGCAAAAACATTGCTGTCATTTATCTTTATTAAATTTTCATCCAAAAAATGGCATATATCGAAAAAAGTTACATTGTCCGAATTAATCTTAATTTTGTACCTATACATCGCTGATGGCAAAGCTAACTTCTATTAGCAAAGTTGCCAAACTTGACTGTATTAAAATACTTGATGAAAATCAACCAAGGGAGCAAGCAGGATGTTGAAGTATATATCCAACATTAGATCATATTTATGTCGTTAAGAAACTGTTTGAAAACAGCAAAGAATACAATATTACCTTCTACTGCTGCTTTGTTGATTATTGTAAGGCCTTCCACTCGCTCGAATACTTACAATACACTACCTAAATACATCAGAATACTGAAAAATATCTACAAAAGTAGTAAAGCCAAAACCAAATAGAAGGAAGGAAAAGAAATAAATATAGGAGGAGGAGTGCGTCATGGTGATCCCCTGTTTCCTAAAATTTTCTCAGCGGTACTAGAGCACGTATTTCGTCAATTAAATTGAGAAGAAAGTGGACTACAAACTAACGGTGAGAATCTGCAAGGTCACCTAATAATTTTAGGTTAAGGTTACCAAGTAATTTAACCAACAGATATAACAACAAAGGAAATTGACAGATATATAGGAAATGCTTGGAAATAATACTGGAGGCTAAAGGAACAGGAAAGAAAAATATGACCATTAAACGCAAAGTCTTTGACAGTTATATTTTATCTGTCCTCACACCGTATGTGCTTCCTAATATGAGTTTTAGTGAGACCCAGGACTGACAGCCATCTGTCAGTCCTGGGCCTAAACTCATATTAGGAAGCTAGAAATTTGTTAAAATGCCCTAAAGAGAAGCATGATGGGGAAAAAAATTATCTGACCGAATAATAACCACAATTATAAAGAAAAATATAAGAACAAAGGACGTGATTGACAGGACATACAGTTAGGGGAACAGACAAATGGAAGAAAATAATAATGTATTGGTACACAAGATACAAGAAAAGGAAAAGGCGTAAACCATTCAGGAGATGGGTTGATGACATCAAAGCAGTAGCTGGCAATATATGAACCAGAACAGCTGGTATTAAAGATTTGTGGATACAATTGGAGAAGGTCTTTGCTAAAGAAAGGCAAACAAACAGAATCATTGAAACAATTATAAACAGAAGCTGAATATTTAACTAATTGACTATATCCTGTAATATTAATCTTTTTGTATCAATATCTGAATTTTTTTTATTATTTTACACTTCAGTGGGGTGGGTGTCAGTACAGGGTTTTTATATGTCAGGTGGTCTTTATAATTTTTAATAATAGATGTATTTTATGTTTTAACCAACAGGACTGCAGGGTCGGTAATTGGTACAGGTTTGAATGCACTTGTAACAGACTGGGATAAGACCTTGGCTGCGGCTGGTGGCTTATCGCTTTTGGCGCTTGGTGTGTACACAGCGAAGGGTGCCACCTCTGTCACAGCAAGGTTCATTGAAGCCAGGATAGGTAAATATAGAATTATTATATTTTTTTTTATAAAACTGAAGTTGCAAACGAACTTTTGGTCCACTAGTTGTAAGTAACTACCGCATCCAATAGACATCTGAAAATAAAAAAGGCTACATAGGCATTGTCTTCTCAGAGGACTGAAATAAAATGCGTCAAAGCCTGTAATTATACGAGCTCTTTATATTCTTTGGAGTGTTGTTGTATAATATATAATACGCAATCTACACTTGTAGATTATTTTTTTATAACTTTGTTCCCACACTAAAATTTTCTCCTGTATCATGGGGGCAGTTTACATACGTAAATTTCTCAAGGACAAGTATCCAGGCTAAGAAGAATTATTTGTAGGCCATCCAAATACTTGTTTCGTGCGGGATCTGATGCTAGCGGATAGATATAGATATAAATTGCCAGATAAATAAACTTGTTTTGTTGGCCGCGTTCACAAACCAAATGCGTATAATAAATACCTACAGTTACACTGTCGTATTAGGATAACCTGTAAAGATAGTTGTAGTTGTAAGTGTTGAAATAAATAAATAGAAAATATTTTGAAGACATGTGAAGTCAACATGCTATGCAAAGCACCGAGGCGGACACTTCCTTGCCCTAAAACCCTCTCAGAAGTGAGAGGAGGCCTGTGCCCAGCAGTGGGACGTACATAGGTTGTAACTTTAAATAAATAAAGATTATACAAATTTACCCATATGATCCTAGGATAGAGTTGTATTTAAACAACAATATACATAAAAAGAGTACTTTAGGCTACTTATTCTCTTTTAATTAATTTGAGTTAAAATTTCACTCGACTTCAGAACAAAAAATTAAGAGTGACACTACAATTACTTCTTACTTGGAGAGTAAAACCTACAATGTATAAATATAATATTTTTCCAAATTGTTAGAGCCGTTCCCGACAAACCAATTGTATAATTTATACAAGAATCCCTTACTTAAATTATTAAGATATTCAATAGATATTAGAATTTCCTGCTAATAATTTTCTTTTGATGAATTAGAAAAAATATTACAAAAAGTGGTTTATTGATAGTTTTGGGCTTAAACTATCGTTTAAGATGACTCCTTTTAAATGAAGAAGTGCTATAGGTTAGCCGCGGCACCATAGTCACCTTTCGGCACTTCGCCAAACTCTAAAACTTTGTAGATTTTAGTTTGCATTGTTCCTTAGGACTTTTTTCGTAAAATATTCTAGTTTAAACGTCATACTAAGTTTATAAGGCCCATTACTATGCTTTGTTTCAAAAATCATAATAAAAATGTGAAATTAAAAAAAACATTTATCCATTAATATATGAATATCCAAAAATGGAAAGGAACTGTGTAAAATTACGCAAATGTTCCTTAAGTGTCAGTCAAATGGCTTAACTTTTAAAACAAATTAAATGAAAATAATATAAAACCCCTTGTATTTGATTTCATGGAGAGTGTTTTGTTAATTTCTTGTTGAAGCTTTACGGAGAGTACTTCTGCATATTATCACAATCCTATTAACTATATAATTTTAAAAAAAAATACAGTTGTCCTAGCAGTAACAGACTTGGTAGTTATTGTAACTTGTGCTCCAAGAGATAAATAAACATGAAATGGACAGTATCTTTCTAATAAAAACTCAAAAATATAAAAAATTACGGCTGCCAACTATGCATGCCAAGCGTGGGGGGGGGGGGGTGCGTTCAACAGTGGACTTTTATAGGTATTAGAAATGGATATTGTGGTAAATATATAAAAAACAACAATTGAATTGATATTTAGATAATATCCTTACATTGTAATATTGTCTCAGTCTGTTTTTAAACATCATATTTAAACTTTTAGGTAAACCAACGCTTGTCAACGAAACTTCTAGATTTTCCTTACTGGAGGCAATCAAGCACCCTATCCTCACGGTGTCAAAGGCCGTCGCCAGCTTCAGGAAACCCTCAGATGCCTTAGCGGGCGTAGTGTTGGCACCTACCCTCGAAAAGAGACTTAGAGACATCGCCATAGCCACTAAGAACACGCGCTTGAACAAAGGATATTATAGGAATTTGCTGATGTATGGCCCTCCTGGTACTGGAAAGACTTTGTTTTCAAAGGTAAGTTTAATTGATGGCTTGCAGTAACTGAGCATTCACTACCGACTGCGCTTTTTATTCCCCACTATTTTTTAAATGCTTTATACTTGTAAAAGTATTTTTACGTGGTAGAGCTATACTGCAGCTATATATGGCTGCAGTACGAATCGGTTGGTGCGACTGGGCCATGGCCAGCATTAATCAGCAGAATAACCCTGACTGTCCAATAGTCTTCAATGGTGAAAACATGTCTATTTTTTTGATTCTGAATGGAGGAGAGATGTCTGTGAGCTACAGCACCAATTTACCATCAGGTGGACTGTGTGCTCGCTTGTCATGCTTAATGTATAAAAATATATTACTATGTAATGTTTTTCCGTATCTTGTTTAATTCTATTGTAGTCATAGCACTAAAATGACATGCTTCTTTGTTATTTAATATTTATCTGGGTTAGCTGGAGAGCAGGCAAAATTCAAAATCATAAAGTAAACGAGCACACAGTCCACTTGATGGTAAGTGGTTGCTGTGGCCCATAGACATCTACATTTATCCTCGATTACGAATCAAAATGCAGATACGTTGTCACCCGTGAGGACTAAGATGGAATGCCTCGTTTCCAGTAAAAGATATATCTGGTTCTCTACACTTACCATATGTAACACAGCAATGTTAAGCTGCTATTTTACGCTGGTATTCTGTGAGAGCGTGATCCTTCCCCGGTCGAGCCGACCGATAAAATAGTTGAAAAATAAAACTACTTTGATAGCCTTAACACTATTTTTGTTAAAACTTGACCTATAGATATATGAAAACAATTACCATCCCCCATAGTATTTATATAGTATCCTTATACTGTGTACATTGAAAGAAACATTTTGAATATTATATAGACAGGATCGTTGATTATTTTAGGCTTAATATTTAATATTTAATATATATTTGCTGCAGAAACTAGCGAAACATTCTGGAATGGACTATGCAATACTTACGGGCGGTGACGTTGCGCCTATGGGCAAAGATGCGGTTGCAGCCATACACAAAGTATTCGACTGGGCTAATACGAGTAGAAAGGGTAAGTTATGTTGTGAATTTTACTTATTGCGAGGTAATTTTACTCTTTTCACATGTTATTCTAATACTTTTTAAATTTCTTAAATTCCATAACCTTCATTAAGATTATATTTAAGCAGTGGACTGTTACAGTTCCAAGAAAACAATGTTATATGACTAAAAGACATTTATTTCAACAATTACATCTATACACAATACACATGTAACATTACAATTTAAAAAAATTACTTATTAAAAAAAGAAACCAATAATTATATATGTGCAGTGGCGAAGCTAGGGCTCCAAACTAGGGCAAGCCCAAGATATGGTTTAGTTGTTTTTAGCGGTTTTATAAAAATACACCAATCTTGATCTGTCTCCACGCTTCAGTAACATATTCAGTGCTGTCGATGACGTGTTTAACAAAGCACACAGAAGGCATACCACTGCTAGATAGATTGTATTACATATCAGCAATTGCATAGCTTCGGTGGCTTTGAAGAAAGCCGTTTGGGTTTGCTTGAGCGAAAGAAAAAGATAATTACACACAATACAAATTTAAAAAAATGAAAGATTTGATTTTGTCCGCGTAATACGTTGGGAAACGTTTTAACTGTACCAATAACTGTTTATCAATTGCGATAAAGTCTGAAAGACGCTCTTGACCTTGTGTACGTATTTTCTCAACAAAGTTTAAAGATTTTAGCTTTTCCTCGCCGATTAGCACTTTAACACGCTTCAATTCATCACAAGGAACACTATTGTCCTCCATTTTTACTGAAAATCTTTAAAAAAGCATAAATTTCAACTCACAATATATATATATATATATATTCATTCACTCAAGTAAATAAACAATGTAAACACTGCAAATGTGAAGTGAACTTGCAAACGTATCGCCCGCGCGCCCCCGCACTCGACCAACTTCACACCGAAAGCCCGACTTTTTGCTCTATACTAATTGCTATATAAACAATCGTAGTTATATTTCACTATAGAACATTTTGCCACAAGTTAAAGAGAGCGATCGTCTTCTTGAAAGCCCGGTAAAAAGCCCACGCGTGCGAGTGAGACGACTAATTGCTCAACTCAACTCCTTTTTTTATGACAGCAGTATAGCTCAGTCTACGAGGTCATGACCTGTGTAGAACAGAGGAGCGCGTGGTAAATTTGAAATAGTTTGAAACAATTTACGAGTTATTTTATTAGTTGATATTATTGTTTGAGCAGTTTGATAGGGCAAGCCCGTTTTCTCGGCTTCTATGGAGGCTTCGGATCTGTATATGTGTATGCAAACACATACACTCACACACGTTAATATAAAAAATGATGTGGTAGAAATAAAACTAAAAACCTCTTCTCAGGTGTACTCCTATTTATTGATGAAGCGGATGCGTTCCTCCGCAAACGTTCCTCAGAGCGAATTAGCGAGGACCTCAGAGCAGCTCTCAATGCATTCCTCTACCGAACTTCGGACCAAAGCAGCCGCATCATGCTGGTGCTGGCTTCAAACACTCCGCAGCAGTTCGACTCTGCTATCAATGACCGTTTGGACAAGATGATTGAGTTTGGTCTACCAGGTTACGAAGAAAGAGAGAGACTTATACGTTTGTACTTCGATAAGTTTGTGTTACAGCCTGCTTCAGAGGGTAAACGGTGAGTTCTTGTTTGACATTAAAAATAATTAAAAATTTCCATTGTTAAAATTCACATTTCCATGTGGTTCTATTGAATAGTATTGTTAATTTAAGGATCGGCAATTACATATAACGTCCCCCAGATCGAATTTCGGTAACAGCGTTCAGTTGAGACTGATTAGGCTACTGACCATCTGCTTTCTAATAATAAGAGTAGATTATGGGCAATCTACAATTGAGAACCTTATTATGAATTAGATGGTGATATGCTAGTGCGTGTTGCCAGTGATGACCTACGGAACCGAGACGTGGTCCTTCACTGTTGGCCGTATGAGGACGCTCAAAGTCGCTCAGCGAGCTATAGAGAGGGCTATGCTCGGAGTTTCTCTGCGTGATAAACATAGAAATGAGGATATCCGCGGTAAAACCAGAGTGACCGACATAGCCCAACGGATTGGTAAGCTAAAGTGGCAATGGTCCGGCCATATAGCTCGAAGAACCGACAACCGTTGGGGAAAAAAGGTTCTCGAGTGGCAGCCTCGTACCGGTAGGCGAAGTGTAAGGCGACCCCCCACTAGATGGAGTGACGACCTGGTAAGACATGCAGGAAGTCGATGGATGCAGGTGGCTCAGGACCGTGCTTTGTGGCATACCTTGGGGAGGGCTGTTCAGCAGTGGACTTGTGAAGGGCTGTAATGGTGATGATGATGATGCCACCACATTTACGCCTTACGTAGGAAACCCACAAAGGAAAGCAGATGCGCTCCTCAAACCGTTCGCTCGTAAAAAAAACTAAACGTTGTAAATATAGCCAAATTACCCTACTGTTAAGCCTTAACAGTAGGGTAATTTGTAAAATAAAATGCTAACGCAGTGCAATGTAATACTTGACTTAAAAGTCCAGATAATGATAAGTGGCTATTGCAGGCCAACAAACGTGCTAATGTGGTACACCCATGCTGCAGTTATAATATAGTTGAAGCACGAATAGGTTGGCACGACCGGGGAAGGACTTTTTAGCTTTTTCGTTTCATCGAATTTCAAATCACTACGATTCTAAAGAAGATCTTTTTTTTTAAATAATAAGTGTATAAACGAGCACGCAGTCCATCTGATGTTAAGTGGATGCTGTGGACATTTCTCCTCGATTAAGAATCCAGATGTATTGTCACCTCAGTGGACTAAGATAGAAGGTCTGGTTTACTTTTTATTTACTTTCTATTCTAGGCGTCTCAGCGTAGATCAGTTCGACTACGGGGCGTTGTGTGCAAAACTAGCGGCTCGTACTGCGGGTATGTCTGGCCGCGCGTTGTCTAAACTGGGAGTGGCTTGGCAGGCAGCCGCCTACGCTTCTGATGACGGGCGTCTCACAGAACAGATGTGCATCGAGATATGCGATGATGCTGTCGCCGATCACCGACAGAAGGTATGTCGCAACGTCGCTGAAGGTGTTTCAGATAATCCCCAAATGACCTTTCATAAATACTATAAAAGGATTTTTTTTTCGTTTATAATAGTTGAATGAAATTATATTTCATATTATTTCCATACTTTCTTATCCTAGATATATCTTATAGCCCCTATACACGATGGGCCACCGCGATGGCCCACTATGATGGGCCAGCGTGTGGAGGGCGTAGTTGTGTCGGATGGCTTATGGCGCGTGCGATGGTCTTGGGATGCGACGGTGTCGGTTTTTCCACCGCACATCAAAGGTAGTGGGCCAGCGATGGTGGTACGCATCTACACGTGGCCCATTCCACAGATTTGAGCGCACGACGGTAGAGTGTTGACATTCATGTTTTATTTATTGATTAAAAATGTCGAATATATGGCCTCATAATGAAGTTATAAATTTTTAATCATAGAGCTACTAAAATCAGAACATAAACATAATTTGTTCTTTATTTATTTTGAATAATTAACCAATAATTATTTATTAAATTATTAATTATAATTATTTAATTGTTTGTGTTTAAAGAAACTAAATTGACTTAGGACATATTTCGTTTATTGCAATGATGATAAATCTTCTTAAACCATTCTTTTTGATAACTCTATTCTTGTTCACATTAAGAAAATAACAGTACACTTATAGATATATTCCGCGCTAATTCATCCGTCCATCTCGAAAAACGTTTCGATCACAACTGAATGTCGTGTCGCCATCGTGTAGTTGTATTTCCATCCATGGCCATCTCGCTGAGCCAGGGCTGTCGTGTAGCGGAGCTATTATATATACGTCAGACCAGACCTTGGAGTGTCGTCAAATCTTTTTAATAAATTATTATGTATTAAATTTGCCAGTAAAAAAGCAGTACAAAAATAAACATAATATATTCTTTTGAATCTTTATTTCATTAAGTTATAAGGCTGTTTCATCTCATGACGAAATATATAAGATTTTTTTCACTCTGGTATGAAATGTGAAACTAGACATTTCATATTGTAATAAATGTTATTTTTCGACAGATGGAATGGCTGTCTGAGGAAGAAAAATCACGAAGTATGATGCCTTATCTCCTAGATTTACCTCCTCTGGACCATCCGGAAACAGGCAAAGTGACCGTTACGGAAATACCCAACACTAATGAAGAGGCCACGAGGCAAACAAAACAAGGCAATGATAAGACTGTCCCAAAAAAGTCCTCAAGAGACATAGAACAGGAGAAGTGACACTGTCCTCCCGAGGAACACCATCGCAACAATGTGCTACCACCATCAAGTGCCAATTACACGAACACTAAGTGTGACACAAAGCGTACAATCTTTAGTTTAAAAAGCACTAAAACGGTAAAATGTATATTTTTAAGCGATCAGGAAATGGAAAGGTTAAAAACTCTAGCCTTGGGCAAAAAAGGTAATCACAAAGATTCACATATGGCAAGAAAAAAGGAGCGGTTAACACCGTCGTAATAAATTACTATATTAGGTAACTTGAAATAACAATTTTATAATATTATATATTTACAACATGGTCGTTGTCTTGTTTTAACAAGCATTTTTATTATTTAAAAATGTACAAGAAACTATGTCACCATTAGCAGGGTTAAAGGGGTTTCTCTATTTTCTTCCTGAATAATGCCACCAGAGCATTCTTTCTACCACTTTACACTTTCTTTCATAAGTTAATTATTGTAAAAATAAGAAACCTTTTAAAATTATCAAAACTGCCCTATCCTATTTAATATTGTTATTGAAAAGTAAATTATACTCGGTCCAGTTTTGGTCAAGGAAACAAGGGAATACGGGAGTATGATTCCTTAAATTTTTATAGATGTAATCTGATATAGTTATAGTCTGAGTTGCAGTTGCTTCGAATCTGCACGCCTGAAATAATAGTTAAAAAAAACTAAATTATTGGAGCCTTATATCTGCTCAACTGGTGTTACTATCTCTCTCTCGTAATAGTATTCCCATTGACATGAGTCTTAACCACCTAATGTTACCGCATATAGTTCGCTGTTCTTCCTATTTACCAATTTGTTGACTTACAATAAGTTAAAACATCAAGAGAGTCTAAAGTTAATATTCATCAATACTTAAATTATATTGTGTTGAATTTTCTAATGATGTGTTCATTAACCTTTGAAAAATGTAATTTAAGCTTATTTAAAATGACAAGTGTAACGCTAAAAGGTAATTTAATATGTTTTTCTTGACTATTAAAATATAATTGATTACAATAAACTCATAATAATATATCCCATTTTATATGCACGAATTGGTTCATATAACATTGTCATATATTATTATTATTATTATTTGTATATTTACAAAACATATTTTAAACGTTTCTTTTAAAGAAAATAAAGCCAATGGAAATGACAGACTATCCATTAGGTAGAAATAATAAAACAATATAAATATATTTTTCAGTGGCATTCCTTGGGAAATGCCAATGTTCAGCATTTGTAATGAACTAATGTTGATGATATTTATGATATTTTTAAGTTGTACGCAAAAACGGTCGAACCCACTCACTCACTCACACTTTTGATAATATCTCGAACTGGTTAAGAGCCTACACTACCGTAAATGGGTTAACAAGATCCTCTGTTATACCGAAAATACTGCAGCATTGTTTTTGAAATAAATATCTGGTCAAGTTGAGGATTAATGTTAAGTACTATGTTAGACTAAAACACGATTCCATAAAATTTTCTCGATAGAAAAAAAATCCAAAGTTACCTCTAAACCAAATTATAAACCGCTGGTATTCAAAAAATACTTAAAATTAGATCATGAAACTTTGCATACTAACTGAACTAACTATAAAGCAGGGCTTATGTTATTTACATTTTTTTTAATTATCATTATTTTCACCGTAAAAAGAAATTACCTAAACTATCGTGGTTTTAAAGTTTGTTTTAAAGTTGTTGACACCGTCGTTCCTCTGGCTTCGGCTTTTGGACGGGTGGGTTGTGTCGCTTGTGCTCAGAACACACATTACGCAACAGGACGACGTAAAATTAAAATATTAAGCGTTTACAAAATTGATATTGAATTGGTATTGACGACACGAGTCACACACACACAAGTGTACGCACGGTTGGCTGCGGGAATCGTAGTCAAATGAAATTATTTTGATAATTTGAAAGATTGAATTTGTTTTTCATTTCTTATACCTCAGAAATATATTTAGATACGAAATACGAAAACCTGCTCCAGAGATTGCTTGGCACTGGAAGCCCTCTACTGGTAGTGAGATGTTAGCTGTGGGCTTTGGATTAGTTTTGTTAGTTATAATAAGACCTTACCTACCTCCGGACTCGATGGAGTGACCTGAAGGTGTAATTCGGTGATTACAACTGGAATTCCTAGACTAGTAGAACTAGGTGTGCCGAGTTTGGGTTCGTTTTGTTAGTTATGATAAGACCTTACCACTGGACCTGATGGAGTGACCTGAAGGTGTATTTCAGTAACTACTGCTGGAATTCCTGGACGAGTAGAACTAGGTGTGCCGAATTGAGGTTCGTTTTGTTAGATATGATAAGACCTTACCACTGGACCTGATGGAGTGACCTGAAGGTGTATTTCAGTAGCTAATGCTGGAATTCCTGGACGAGTAGAACTAGGTGTGCCGAATTTAGGTTCGTTTTGTTAGTTATGATAAGACCTTACCACTGGACCTGATGGAGTGACCTGAAGGTGTATTTCAGTAACTACTGCTGGAATTCCTGGACGAGTAGAACTAGGTGTGCCGAATTTGGGTTCGTTTTGTTAGTTATGATAAGACCTTACCACTGGACCTGATGGAGTGACCTGAAGGTGTATTTCAGTAACTACTGCTGGAATTCCTGGACGAGAAGAACTAGGTGTGCCGAATTTAGGTTCGTTTTGTTAGTTATGATAAGACCTTACCACTGGACCTGATGGAGTGACCTGAAGGTGTATTTCAGTAACTACTGCTGGAATTCCTGGACGAGTAGAACTAGGTGTGCCGAATTTGGGTTCGTTTTGTTAGTTATGATAAGACCTTACCACTGGACCTGATGAAGTGACCTGAAGGTGTATTTCAGTAACTACTGCTGGAATTCCTGGACGAGTAGAACTAGGTGTGCCGAGTTTGGGTTCGTTTTGTTAGTTATGATAAGACCTTACCACTGGACCTGATGGAGTGACCTGAAGGTGTATTTCAGTAACTACTGCTGGAATTCCTGGACGAGTAGAACTAGGTGTGCCGAGTTTGGATTCGTTTTGTTAGTTATGATAAGACCTTACCACTGGACCTGATGGAGTGACCTGAAGGTGTATTTCAGTAACTACTGCTGGAATTCCTGGACGAGTAGAACTAGGTGTGCCGAATTTGGGATCCGTTTTGTTAGTTATGACGAGTCCTTACTTCCGGACTTATTGGAGTGACCTGAAGGTGTAATTCGTTGATTACAACTGAAACTTCTAGGCTAGTAGTACTAGGTGTGCCGAGTTTGGGTTCATTTTGGTAGTTATTATGAGACCTTACAACACATTTAAAATATGTTTTGTAATATATATATATATATATATATATATATATATATATATATATATATATATATATACGTTTATTTACCTCCTATATTCAGCTATGATAATGTTTTATTTGATAAAGTATCGTATTTGTAACATAAAAGGTTATTAGCGCTGTTTTTTTATTTAGGGTGATAGTAAAGCCTCGATGAGCCGCCATTTTTAATCCCATTGTTTATCCGCACGGGTAGTAGTACATCACGCTGTATACAAATAGCTAAAGTAGTATTTCATGATATGTGCGGCCGCATTATGATGTGGATTTTACGATCGGGCCACGACAAATAAGTATGCAATAAGTTTACTACCATGTAATATTTCATTCATATACTACCTTTTAGGTTCAAAAGGCATTTACAAATACATATTAGTAGTCATTTGTTGTTACTTATTAGTTTCGTTTCCTTATGGATGTATAGTGTTATTGTTAAATGGTTGGTGATGCGGCTTATGGTAGTGTATATGGTTGTTTGCAATTAGCCTATTTCATATTTTCATGTCATTATGTTTTTTATTGTTTCCGTAAACTTAATGACTACCTGTATTTAACGTGAATTACGAAATAGGCGTGTATTTTTAGGTTATTGACGGATAAAGTATGACATACAATGGTATTTGATAAGGCGAGAAGGTTATTCCAATCTCGAAACTAAAGACCAAAATACATGTAATATTATATAATTTTACGTATCAAAAATTGACGCACAAATATCATAGACTTAAGACTCACTCTTTCGTATTGTTTTAGCGTCTAGTCAATATCGATTTCAATTTACACAAAAACTACGCTGTATACTAGACCAAAAAGGAAAGATAAACGGAGCGCTGCGTACGCTTCTAGTAACGCAAAAACAATGTTGAATTTGAGCATGGTTGTTATTATACGCACACGTGTTCACGTGCATCAAAAATCAAACATGGTTTTAGGTGCATATGTGTACGTAGTTGGCGGTCTACCTCTCCCTTTTTTGTAGCCATGGAAAGGCACTTACACGACATGGTCATAGGGTCTAAGCATAACATGTCCGTACCAGCTTAGCCTGGACTCTGTTATCAGAAGATAACAGAGTCCAGGCTAAGCTGGTACGTAAGGGGAGGTTTCAAATTATATACAATTCGTTGCGCACTTTGTCTTTGAGAGTGACTCCAGTGGAGTGACTCCACCCGCCACGTAACACGCGCATTTCGTTGGAGTGAAGTTGTTGCTCATAAATTTTTTTTGAAACCCACGTTTCGCTACCATAGATTAAAACAAGTCTCACAACTGTTTTGTCAACCATGCCTTTGGTTCTTATCGACATTTTTGGATCGCAGAGGACTCCTGTTAATGTACGCCACTTATCCCTGTATATCCACAATTTCTGTGTTACTTTTCAAATATCATTGCTGCCATACATATTAATACTCTGGTTCTATCCACTTTAACTCGAATGTAAACAAGAACATAAATTAATAAAATTAACCTTAGGTATTTTGTCGCGTTTTATTTTGATTCTCGATATTTCGATTTGCAGAACCTATATATATATGAAATCTTTTTAAACATAATTTAAATACATAATCTATATAAAAATATAATAATCATCTATATACAAATATATATTTACAAACCAATTGTTTGCTTTCACGGGAAATTGGATTGGAACAAAGTACACAAGTAGTCA